TGGGATTCCACAACCCTGATGTCGGTCGTTGCATCGTCGACGGGGGAGATCTTTCTGGGGTGGCCCAAGTTCCGGGAGGATTTCCCAACTGTGCTGATGTCCAGCTGCCAGCGCGACAATGAAGGTTTGACTCAGCGTAACAGTTCGATTCTGACAGCTATTGGAATGCCATCTCGGTTTTTTTTTTTCAGGCGCCTGCATCGCCAGCCGCGACTTCAACGCCAGCCCCGAAATTCTCAGAGACAGCGCGTTCCTTGAGAAGCTGCCCTCGGGCACCGCCTCGCACGGAAAATGCCGCGCGTCACCCTGGAGGCCGGGCGCTGCAGGCAATTCATGCAACTACTTCATTGCCCCCCCCCCCCCCCTGGGCTCTCCAAGCGCGTCAAGCCGAATCACATTAGCGCGGGCTCGGACATGAGAGCACATTGCCCCGCGAGTTTGACTCTTCACAGGCGCCCATCTGACCAGAGGCCCTCAGCTTCGCCAAGCCGCCGGATTTTCCAATGGAAACACCTATCGGCCCTGGCAAGGAATCCGAGTCCTGCTGGCATCTGAATCGGCCCGTGGGTCTTGCTTCAACAAGAGGCCCCTCGGCTCTCTGCGCGCGCGCATTGCGAACCTCGCGGAGCAGGAGATCGCCGTGAGCAGGCGCACCTCTTCTCTTTCGGCATGGGGCAAGCGGCGCGACACCTGGTCTCATTGGAGTGTCCACCGCGCAGATGGACGCCAAAGAGCCCAGCGAACAGAGCCCTGTTTTGGTTGCTTTCCAACGGCTGTCTCGGGAATTCCGCGCCTGTTTAGCGGGCGCCTTCGAAGAGCAGACGAGCGGAATCCACGGGGCGAGCATCATGGAACTTTCCCCGAGGGTCTCTGGACACCTGGCTGCTTTTGAGGAATGCCAGTCCTTGGCTTTCACCTTCGCCCACGGGCCCTCCATGGGCCTGGCCGCGGATCCCGGAGAAGGCCAATGCATCCTCGAAGAAATCGATACGCCGACTCGTTTCGGCATCGAAGTTTGCAGGAGCGGCGCGCGCGGCTACCCGATGGCACTTCGAAGGGAGGGAGAAGGGGGCACAAGTGGACGGCGGAGTGTATACCATGTAAGGCGACTGCGACTCTCTCACGCCGCGGGCACCCTGTTGCAGATGCTCTTCGCCTCTGGAGACTGGAGCAACGCGCTGGCCTGGACTGTGGCGCGCGGAAGCCGCCCCAAATCCCCTGCCCTCTCGTGTCAAACTGCTGGGCCCTCTCCCTCACATTCCTCCAGCTGAGGTCCGGCAAACCAGGAGGTCCTACTTCACGCGCGCGGCCATCAGTATAGACGGCTTCGCTGTGAGGCACTCTGCCAGTCTTTCCGACGGGTGCCTGGAGTGTCTCAGCATCGCATACTCCATCATCGAGAGTGCTGGTTTGCTGCCGTCTCACATGACTCTTCTTCAGCTCGCCCTTCTTGCTAAACCTGCTGGAGGGTGTTGCCCCATTGGGCTCTTCAGCAACTGTTGCAATCCACTATGGGGGAGGGCGAAGAAATAGATAGCTTCGGGACGGGAAAGGAATCGTAATCGACAGTATTGGAGTTCGAACGGGACAGGTTTCAGCGACGGTCTTGTGGGATGTGAGGGACATGTACGGTGGCATGCACCGATGCCCCAAAGCCCTCGGTACTCAATATCTGGCGTAATCGCAGGATTGCCCATGGCAGCTACATTCGTTCGCACGTACGTCACACCAATGTTCGACCCACTCGATGTCCGGCATTATATCATGTTCCTTATAAACACATGTAGTTCCCAGCCAAACAGTAGTCAGAAGAGTTCACCACCGTGCTCATGCAAACTGCCTAGGTGTACATCCATTTATGTACAAATCTGTATGCACGTGCTGTTCTGTTGCGGGGGGGCAGGGCTGCCGTTGCTTCGTTCCTTGCTAGACTGGGCACGTCTCTCACTCAGGTTCTCTGAGCTCACGGCGGCGACGGCGCCTCCTGGGCAGCTGTCGATGGCACGGCTGGCGCGGCCAGCAGGAAGAGAACATCATCCCGGGAAAGCTCGCGAGAGAACGCATGCTGTATTCCCGAATAGGGTCAGGCGCGTTCTCGGAGGGCTCAGGGAGCTCTTTGGGGGACATCTCCCCGAGGGTTTGCTCACCTCGGGGCCGCTCTGTGGGGCCAGCCCGCGCGAGGTTCAGAGGCCCATGGTGCGCCCGGCGCTGGACCCAAACCCCTCGGGAGGTGTTTCAGCAAGTGTGGCCAGCCATCGGCTGGTCCCAAAAATGGAACACCCCTCGCCATCTTGGAGAGCGACCTGTGATACGATGCCAGGATTGTCGCTTCGGCCGGCCAAGGAGATCTGGCAGTCCCTGTCAGCACGCTGCGTCCCTGTCAGTACGCTGCGTCGAGCATGAGTCGGCCATTGATTGCAGGTGGCGTTCTCACTTGGCGTAAAGTGACAGGCCCGACCCATGCTGCTCGAGCGTCTCTGCATCGCACATGCTGGCCTTATGCGAAGTTTCACGGAGCTGGAGGCGGAACAAGGAGTTCGAATCGGGCTCACAACATGCAGCCCCAAGCTCGTCAAACACTTCGCGGGAAGGGTGACTTACGTCAGGCCCACAGGCAAAGTGCCAAGAATCATGGGCTCCAGGAAGCTTCTGGGATCTGTATGGATACGTTTCTCCAGGAATTTAACTCCCAAAAAACTGAAACGTCTTCCAGAAGGGTTGTATCGGATCATTCGCATGTAATGACATCTGGACAGGTCCCCGCGCGCAGGAGGCAAGATAGCTGTTGGACGATATCTCCTGCTGGTTGGGCGGGAGGTCTGACAATATCTTCCATCGAATGTGGCGCCGTCCTGCCGTTAGCGAGATTTGATCCGAAAACATGGAATCGTCGATCAAAGAACGTCCTGTCGCGCTTCGCCCCGATGATCCCGATACGCTTGTATGCTCGCCTGTTGTACTCCCTCGCCCTCGAGCTGTGCTCCCTCCCCCGGCCCTGGAAGGCGGCATGGTGGCCAGGTGGGTTGTGATGAACCCGCATCTGAGGCGACGGCCATAGCTGGCCAGGTGCTCTGCTTGACGGTTCAGGGCTGAAAAAAAACCATCCCTGAGTTATGTCGTGCTGGCTGGGGGGCTCGTAGGATAGCAACGGCTCTCGTCTGTGCACACTCGAGGGCCGTGTTCACAGGTGGCTCCCGCAGACCTCCCAGGCTGGAGAGTATTGCGGGTTCGGGGCCACCGGCGAGCTCCTGTGGGCCCAGCGCAGGCTTTTCCGGCAGTCTGAACGTCGTTGATAGTTTCATCACTCCGGTATCTAGCCAGCCTGGCTCGAAGAAGCAATATGCGGGCACTCTGCTCAGCATGGCGAATGCTCTCAACACCCGACTCAAAACATTCAGTCGGGCGTGTCCCCCTACCGGGGGGTTTCCGACGAAAAATAAAAAAATACCCCAAAAAGGTCAGAAAATACTAGAAAAATAGTCCCCAGACTATTTTTGGATTATGTTTTGACCATTTTGGGGGTATTTTTCATTTTTCGTCGAACATCCCCCTGTAGGGGGACAGGCCCGACTCAACTCTAGGAGGGCAAGGCTCACGCCTCGCACGGGGGCCTCGTCGGCCAGGAGCGACCCCGCAAGACAGGCACTGGTGGAGCGGACCTGGCTGCGAAGAGGGGCGCCCGCCTCCACCCTTCCCCGAGCCAGGCCGAAGACCGACAGAACCGGTCTTGGGGGGCAGGAACCTCTCGCAGGGTAGCACGTGCCAAAGGGGACCTCTTCGCTGCCTGGCCTCGTAGCCCTGCGGCAACTCCTTCCAAGAACGCGCCGTCGTGCGCCGTGGGCCGCACGCGCAGCCCTTTCCCCGGCCGCCTCCAGCAGGGGGCTGTGGCTCGCGCGGCGGACAGGCAATCGAGGATCAGATCAATTTGAACGATGGGGGCAAATTCAATGTTCCAGATCTACTTTTTTTTATGTTTTGAAAGCCGCAAATCTCCGTGCTGGGATTGCAAGGAAAAAAGAAAAGTAAAAGAATTAAAAGGGACATTAAAGCACAAAAAAAAGGAAAAGGTTGCAAAGAAACAAAAAAAAACAAAAAAAAAAAAAACAAGACACACAAGGAAAAAAAAGAAAAAAAAAAAAAGCAAAAGAAACAGCAAAGCAAACAAAAAAAAAACCAGAACACAATCAAGAAACGAAAAAAAAAACAAAAAAAGCAATGCAGAAAAAAAAAAACAAACACACATAAGATTAAAAGAAGGGAAAGGTCTCGCCGTGTTCGGATCGAATTGTGATCCGTGCTCTAACTGTGTTTAGCTGCCGCTGTTGTTTATGTGCCCCGTTCCTGTCAAGTAGTGTAGGTGTTGGGTTGACGTTGCTTTTTCTGCCTGTCTTGGGTTCCGGTGTTTCGCTCGTGGGCCCAGCCAATGTCATTTGTGTTTTGTTGTGGGTTACCGTTGTTTTATGGCTTGGTCGGCCGCAACACGAAAAATTCAAAACGGACGAAAAACGCCCCCAGCGCTTTTGAGAACAAATAAGTCCTGGCCATTGCCCGACACCGTCACAAGCTGGTCGATTTTCTCGTGCACGGATGGTATCTTGTTGCACGCGTGCGCCAGGTGGGGCAACTCGGGAAAATGGTTAAGGATTGGTAAGCATGCAGGCACCACCCTGGTGAAACAACTCCGCCTCCTCCTTCTCCTCATGCCTCCTCCTCCTTCTCCTTCTCATCCTCCTCCTCCTCTTCTCCTCCTTCTCATCCTCCTCCTCCTCCTCTTCTCCTCCTTCTCCTCCTCATGCCGCCTCCTCTTCATCCTCCTCATCTTTATCATCATCATTCCTCCACCTCCTCCTCCTCCTCCTCCTGCGCCTCCTCCCCTCCTCCTGCTAATTCTTTCCTCCTCCTCCTCCTCATGCCTCCCCCTCTTCCTTCCCTCTCTCCTTGCCCTCCAGAAGCATGTCATGAGAGAGAGGAGGGGCCGCCGGCGGCCCGGGGGGCGGGGCCTCCGTGCCCTCCATGGTCCTCGGGTTGGGGGGGGGGAAGGGGCGAGCGCGCGCCGACGCGGGCTCGGGCCGCACGGTCCACCCGTCGAATGAGGACGCACAAGAAGGAGGCACGGGGCCTCGGGAGCCAAGGTGTCGACACTTTGCGAGCGGGGCGCGGCCCGCGAAGGAGGGGCCGAAGGGGCAGGATCTGCAAGGGCAACGTTGGAAAGTTGCTCGCCCTGACAATGCGGCATGACTGTGCACTGCAGGACTCTGGGGACTCGGATGGGAACGGATCGTTTTGGAGCGCCTTGGCAACGCCCGCGGGGTCATGCTACACCCAACGACACGTGCACACCCCTGGCAGCCGCGTCAGCTCCTGCCCGAGCATGCACACGCGCCGACAACAAAGAGGCTTCACAGCGTGCACCCGACGGGCCCCTACACAGGTCAGTCCTCGTCAGCGACAGGGGCACAGTGGATCCCGTCGGGCGGAGGTGGAGGAGGAGGAGGAGGAAGGAGGAGGAGGAGGACGAGGAAGAGGAGGAGGAGCAGCACCAGCAGCAGCAGGAAGCGGTGGCTTTCCGCCCCCTGCCTGCTCTTGCTGGACACCGCCCCTTGCCCGTGCCTCCTGGGCCGCCAACCCCTGCCCCCCGGCGCCGGACAGCGCGATCGCCCCCCCAAAGACCTCCCCCCCCTGAGCGCGGCACTTGCGCCTCTCTCGTCTCGGGCACGGGCCGCGCCGCGCACTTCGACGTGGCCCTGCCGCCCGCGAGGCGGGCGAGGGGGGGAGGAGGCTGGCTTCGGCGGCCTCCGACCGACCGACCGGCGGCGGCGGAGACGACGCCTCCCCCCTCTCCCCCCCGGGAAGGGTCGGGTGCTGCGAGGAGTACCCCTGGCCCAAGGTGCCCCCAGCTTGTCGCTTCCTTTTGGAGCCCCCTGCAGGCCCTCTGGGCCTCGTGAGGGGCGCTCTGGAGGCCGTTTGGGCCACCCCGAGCTTCCTGGGAGGCACCTTGGCCCAGGGGCACTTCTAGCAACGCCCGAACTGGCCATCGCTCGGACGCCATTCCTTGTGTTTTTTTCGGCTTCGTGCGTGGTTTCTCGCCAGATGATCAAGGATGCTCCTCGATGGTCTTCGCCGAAGGAAACATGCACACGTCCGAGCGATGCCAAGGGTGCGTTGGAGGCCAACTGGGCTACCCGGCGATTCCTGGGAGGCACCTTGGCCCAGGGGCACTTCTAGCAACGCCCGAAAGGGGGCGGGGGCGGGCGGCGCGCGCGGCGCCGCGGGAGCTCGGCCCGCACGCCGCACGCCGCGGGCGGCCACGCGGGCAGGACGGCGCGCGGCGCCGCGGCTCCCCCCCCGCGGCGCGGCGCGGGCCCCGCGAGAGGCGCCCCGAGGCCAGGCCCACGAGCGCCCCCCGCGAGGGCGCCCAGAGGGCCCCCCCAGCGGGCGCCAGAGAGGGGCCCCGGGAGGCCCCGGAGAGTCCCCTCCCGAGAGGCCTATGCGAGGTGCCCCGCGAGAGAGAACCGCAGATGCGTTCAAACACAAAGACAAAGAAAACACAAAAAAGGAACAACCAAAAACAACAAACACAAAAAACATACAACAAACAAAAAAAACAAAACAAAAAACACAAAAAAAAACAAACAAAAAACAAACACAAACAACCAACCAAAAAGGCATTCCCTGGTCCGACACCCGGACCGCGGGGGGGGTCCGAAAGGACTCGCCGGACAGAGCGGCAAAACAAAAAAAAAAAAAAAATAAGAAAAAAAAAAAAAGCAAAAAAAAAAAAAAAAAAAAAAAGCCAAAAAAAAAAAAGAAAAAAAAAAAAAAAAAAAAAAAAGCAAACAAAAAAAAAAAAAAAAAAAAAAAGACAGAAAGGTGCGCTGCTGCCGCTGCTCCAGTCTCGGGGTGCCCCGCGGACCGTTCTGGGAGCATCGCCGGTCTGCCTTCCTGCGCTCCTCGGCCCACCTGCGGCCTCTCGAGCCGGCGGCGAGCGAGGGGGGAAGCGATGCGGGGCGGGCCTTCTCAGATGGCTCGGAAGTCCCCCGGCCTGCTGAGAGGTCATCTACGCCTGCCCCGAGCACGCAACAGACTTCTCAGACGTCGCGAGGGATGCGCGGTGAGGCTGCAAGGGCCTTGGAAAGCAATGCCGACCCCCTGCGAGCGGGGCGCGGCCAGCGGAGGGGGCTAAGGATGGGCCGCAGGGGGGAAGGATGCGAGGGTGCCCTCCTCCCTCCTCCCTCCTCCCTCCTTCCCCCTTCCCCCTCCCTCCTCTCTCCTCCCTCCCTCCCTCCTCTCTCCTCCCTCCTCTCCTCCTCCCCCCTCCCCCCTGGAGAAGTCGCTCCTCCTTCCTGTGCGGGTCGACTGCACACGAGGCGACAGCGGCGGCCTGCGTGCCTGGGTGTGCTCCCGCCCCATGCCCGCCCCCGGAGGCCGCGCGCGGCAGGTGGCGCTGCTGGCGAGGGGGGCCCTTCCTGCGGTGCGGCCAGGTCAGACAAGAGCCCTGGTCCTGGGGTCCAGTCGTCGGGGCTGTGGTGCGTCCTTTTTCTCGGCAGGGGGCAATCTTGACGAACGAACAACACACACACCCATACCCATAGGGAGGTCGTTGGGGACCCCCATCCGACAACACGCACCCCTAGCCCTCTCCGATCCCCCTATGGGTATGGGTGTGTGTTGCTGGTTCGTCAAATCTGCAGAATCAGTTGCGCGAACAGTCGGCTTGCGACTTCCGTGCCAACTTCTGGTCAAATCAACAAGAACAAGAAACAAGCCGATCCGCTTCTTGCTCTGGGTGCTGGCGCCCTGAGGGCCAATCCTTGCGGCAACCCTGCCTCGCCAAGGACGCGGGAGCCTCCTCATAACCAAACGCACCACCAAAGGACGGTGAACGATTCAAGGGAACCAAGAAGTACCCATACCGTTACTCCCCCGACCTTTCCTGGCGTGCCCTCGGACCATGATGTCAATCTGGGTGCATGTCCCTCGCTTTCATTACACCATCGGAAGGCGAGGATGGCTTGTATGAAGAGGAGGACCAAACAAGCCAAACCAATAAACAACAACAACACAACAAAACAAAACGGAAAAACACAACAACACGTACACACAACACAAAGCGATTTCGAACTCCCGTAAAAGAAGGAAACAGTTAAAAAAACAAAAGAGAAAATTAATAGTTTTTGTTTTTTTTAAAAAAAACAAACAAAAAAAAAAAAAAAAAAAAAGAAAAATTAACCGTTAGGTCCTCTCCACGAGCATCTGCAAGTGGTCCTTCCGCGACAAGGACGTGAACAGCGCGTCCACCTCGTCGAACACCACGACCTTGAGCGCCTCACAGACCAGCCGGCCCTCCTGCCGAGGGGATCGCTTCCCCCCTCTCCCAAACGCCGCGCGCTGCCGCGGGCGATGAGGAGGAGCAGGAGAAGGAGGAGGAGGAGGAAGGAGAAGGGAGGAGGAGGAGGAGGAGGAGGAGGAGGAGGAGGAGGAGGAGGAGGAGGAGGAGGGAGGAGGAGGAGGAGAAGGGAAGGCAGGAGTGTTTAGCGAGCAGTCTCGAGTACCCACAGTGAGAAGCGAGCTGAAGCCCGGGGGCGCCGAGCAGATCTGATGCGAACTCTCCTCCTCTTTGCCCGGGACGTGCCCCAAACGCAGGATCCAAAGAGGAGGCCTTGTGCATTCTTTTGAAGGCCCCGGCGGGGGGAGGCATGCACACGCCCAACGAAGCCAGAGGAGGGGCCGCCAACCTCAGGTGGCCGCCTCTCCTTTTGCTCCCCCTCTCCTCCTCCTCGGCATCGCCGTCCCTCGTCATTGTTCGTCTCACCCTCCTCCCTCCTCTTCATCCTCCTCCTCTTCCTCCTAGCTTCTCCTATGGCCAAAGATGTGGCGGGTTGCTGACGCCAATCCAAAAACCTATCCCGACTGCCCGGGTCCCTCATCTGGTGCAACCAGCCCCCAGGGCGCAAGTGGTGCAACGTATCGTCTCGTCCCGTTTCCTACACGATCTCGTCCCCAAACTGGAAGTTTACACCCCTCCCTGGGGGGTGGCGCCGACGGGTCGGAGCGACCAAGGTGACCCTTGACGATTCAAACTGACATACGCAATGGAAAAACAAGATCAAACATGGCCCAATGTAGCATCTAGCATACCGACCCCCCCCAAAAAAAAAAACTCCAAAGAGGCCCAAAGCGCTGATCAAAAAACAAAACACTCATGATTTGGACCTTCTCGCCTTTTCATTTCCGATCAGACTGTTAGGCCTCCAATTCACTCCAGTCCAGCCAACAAATCAAAACAGGGACCGGCCATCCTTGCAATCCTGTATACATACCATGACCTGCTCTTGAACCAATAATGTTCGCACCGCAGAGACAATGGACTCAGACCAGCAACCGATGTATCTAACCGAGACGGTCTCAGCCGTAAGCGCCCTGATAACATGTTGTGCAAACCACACGACGTGGCTAGAACACTCTTTGGTGGGCCCGTTGGCAAGCAGGACGCCGCGCCACTGCTTGAAAGAGAGCCCCACGGAAAGCCCACGCGACCGACGACGGCTCCGATCCTTCTGCTCCTCGCCACCGGGACGCGGCGTGCCGCTTGGATCTTCGAGGCAGGCGGGCGCCCCCACGTGTCGAGAACCGACAGGCGCCCCCGCATGCCCCGGAGCCTCCCGAGTGCCCAGCCAAACTCCGGTGGTCCAGAGAGGGGGTTCTGAGAGATGGGGGCCTGGGGAAAGGAAGGGGTCCCAAGGGCGGACTTGCGCTGTTTAAAGCACCTCGTTCTTGGGACCCCATCGCTGACTACCTACCAGACCACTCCAACCCAACCCGAAGACCCGAATTCGCCGGCCCAACGGGCCAGGGCGTGCTAAGATCTCCGGTACCTGGTTAACAGTATTTCTAGTTCGCGCGCGCGGGGCGGCCCCTGGGGGTCCTCGGACGAAAAGTACCCCGGCAAGGTCCCGGCAAGTCCCCGGCAAGTCCCCGGCAAGGTCCCGGCAAGGTCGGGCCAGAGATGCCGGAGTTCTGTTTCGGAGTCCAAGAGGGCTCCAGATCGGTCCAAGAGGGCCCAGAGAAGCTTTCTAGACGGTCCAAGAGAGGCCCGAGACGGCCAAAGATCGCCCGAAGACGCCCCAGATGGCCCCAAGACAGCCCAAGAGGCCTCCAAGACGCTCCAAGGGCCTTCCAAGAGGCCTCCGAAGAGGGCCCCAAGTTGCCAAAATCGTTGATTGTCATTGGTTTTTTGCGATTTTTTTTGCGTTCTGGCCTTTTCGCTTCCGGACGCTCCAAGAGGGCCCAAGAGGCCTTCAAGACTGCTCCAAGACGGCCCACGAGGCTCCCAAGACGGCCCCGGAACGGCCCAAGAGCGCCCCCCAGACGGCCCAAGTGCTGCCCAAGGCGGACCAAGAGGCCCCAAGACGGGCCCAAGAGGGGCTCAAGAAGGGAACCGAGAACTGAAAAATCGAGCCCTCCGCCCCAAAGGCGCCCAGGACCCCGAAAGAGGCCCCAAGAGACTCTCCAAGACACCCCCAAGACGCCCCAATAAGCTCCCGTGAGGCCCCAAGAGGACCAACAACGTCAAGCCCCAGGCCCCAAGAGGACCAACAAATACCCAGAGCCCGCCGAAAGCCCCCCAAGAGACCGTCACGAGAGCTCAGGAGACCCCCTGGAGGCCTCCCGAGTTCTCCAAGAGGCCTAAAAAGAGGCGCCAAGAGGCCCCAAACGGCCCCACCGAGGCTCCAAGAGGCCACGAACGCGCAAGCAAACGCCTGCGATGGCACAATCCGGGCCGGCGGAATGAGCGAAGCGATTAAATCTGACCCGAATTCCGGGTTGGGGGGGGTTACGGGTTCCATGTGTTTTTTATGTTTCCCGACCCCCCCCACTGGAAATGGAGGGAAAATTGAGGCCTTCGGGTTGGGTTGGGGTCGTTTGGTGGGTGGTGAATCGCGCAAGACGGCACAGTGGAACCACCGAAGACTGACGCCGCCCGGCCCCGGCGCAGTCAGTCACGAGCTCCCGCGATGCGCTGACGGGTAGACAGGCAGAGACCAGCGCCCTTTGGAGCATCGATCCTCCTCCTCCTCCTCCTCCTCCTCCTCCTCCTCCTCCTCCTCCTCCTCGGCGCGCTGCGGATAAAAGGCTGGAATGGTGACTGGGTGGCTCCTGAAGTTCCTGACAGAGGTGGCTACTCATGTGGCTCAGCGGACTTCTCTCGTGGCAGGGCTACGATCACGGTGCCGCCGTGTCGCGCTGATACTGTCTTGGGTCCAGGCATGGCGATGGCTGCTCGCGCTCACTGGGGACTCCCAAGGGGCCCAATCACTATCGCGATCTACACAGAAGTCGGAGAGGGCTCGTCACCGCAAAGCGTGCACATATTGCATGAGGTGGCAGCATACGCCGCCAGGATCACGGCCCGTGGATGCTTAGCTGATTTGCGGGGATTTCAACATGAAGCACGAGGACCTGGGTGATCTGCCCTGTCCGTATGCGTTGGGCGGGGGGAGGGATCACGATCGAGACACTGCGCGCAGGCAGTCTTTCCCTGGCAGTCGCATTGATTGACCTGTTCATGGTCTCGGAGCTGCTGCTTGCCAACAAAAACCAACCCGCCTGCTGCCACCGAGGACGCGGGCACCTTCTCCGCGTGCGCCCGTGGCCCCGGGAGTGCGTGGTCATGAGCGACAACTGTGGGTGAGGCAGCTCGCTGCAACCCATCTGGTGACGCGTGGGCCTGTGCTCGGGTGTTCGCGACGGCCCGCCGACCGGCACGCGCCTCTCCTCCTTCTCAAGGCCGCCAGCGGCACGGCGTCACTTCAGACAGCCAAGGATGTTGTGCTGAGAACCTTTGGGCAGGAGACTTGCGAGCGCCACGACGAGGTCAAAGGCGTCGCAGCCAGCCAGTGTTTCCATGTACAGGTCGATTACAAGCGTTCGAAGCTGGAAAATCCGATAACCAATCGGCCCCCCGCTCATTTTCAAGAGGGGCACGCTTGGGCGGTGGCGGCCCGCCGGGCAAGGCGCGCGCGCGCAGGGTGGGGCAGTCTATTCGTCATCAGATGTCCAAGCTTGTTGTTGCGGGGCGCGGGTTAAATGCGAAGTCTCAAATGCGGAGTCTCCCTTGTCAATCAAGAAGCTGGCTCGGCACGTGGCTGTTTGTGAACGCATCAACTCCTCCGCGGCCATTCAGTGCGTTGATCCTTGGGGCCAACCGTTGCATTTTTTCTCGGAACAAGGAATGGTCTAGTTTTCGGGCCCGCATGTGGAGGACAGCGTGGATTTGATCCCTGGCAGGGCCGAGGAGGTGCAGGATGCATGGGGCGAGCGTGGCCTGGAGCAGTGGAAGAGATGGGCCGAGAACTCCTTCGATCGTTGTGCTGGTCAGGCACGTTGTTTCTCCAAGGCCAAGGCTGCGCTGGAGATTCTTGTCTGGGGTATGTTATCAAGCGGCGATGCTCAGCCGTGCGTTATGGCCGACAAGTCGATGCGCCTCTGGGATAACGCATTGGGTTGGCACGACCAGCGGTCGCTGCAGCGTCCTGGCGGCGCGAGCATGTGGGAGGCACGTCCTCGAATTTCAGTGGGTATGGTCAGGCAGGCTGTGTTTTCTTTTCCTTGGCGGGCGGGAGCTGGTCAATTTCGACTCCAGCAGTGCACTCTGTGGCACGTCATTGACGTTGGGCCACGTGCACGGGTGCTGCTGTTGTCCACATGCGAAGAAGTACTCCAGCGACCGCAAGTGAAGAGCGTCACTCGGACAGTGCGCATCCCCAAGGAGCCTGGAAACATTTTTTTTTGATCCGCGGGTCGAGAGCGCACCTCTTCCGGTCGAAGCTAAGCGGGCCGCGCGAAGCTTGAATTAGGTAGAGAAGAGGAAGGAGGAAGCAGGAGCCTGGAAACAGTCGCTTCATGGCATTGTGTCACGCTCTTCTTCGGGCACGGGGGCGCGTCACGCGGCCCCTGGCATCGCCGCGGCACAACGCAGACCAATCCGAGCCCCTCCGGGGCAAGGGCGCCGGGCGTTCCTCGAGCGACTGCGCTTTCCGCCTGAACGTGGAGGCGGAGATTGGGCACGAGCACGACGAAGACGCGCTGCGCGCATTTCTGGACACGATGAAGTGTTACGTGACGGTCGAGCGCGGCAAATTACTGGAGGAGGCGAGAGAGCGGCCCGCTTCCCGATGCGACTCTGCTGGATGCCGATGCAGACTTACGTGCAGCCGCGGGCCATCAAGGCCTACGGTGGGCTCTGCTGCGCGGCGGTCTCGCCGCGGGGCATCTCGGCGGGCTGGTCGGCGCCCCATGGTGCTCCTGCACCGCGGGCCTGACGCGAGCCGCCGATGCCGTTCCGAACGTTCGCCCCCGCGCGCTCATGATATCAGCCTCCAGAGCGCGGGGGGGCGGGGGAGGGCTCGGGGCGCGGGCGGGGGAGGCGGCGTCTCGGGGCTGCATGCAGCTGCGCGCGCTTTCGTCGCTGACGAGAAGTCCGCGGCGCTGTTCTTCCAATCCCCCAAGGGCGGTGTGTGGCTAGCACGACTCGCGCCAGGAATCGTTTTGCTGGTTGCGCTTGTTTCTGAAGCTAGGCTCCAAGAAGGCCGCGATGAACCTCGGGCGCGAAATGCGCGGCCCCCGTCCCCAGAGGGCCCAGGAGGCCACCAAGGCCCGCGAAGCTT